GGGTCCCCTGGGCCATAGAGCTGTCTACAGTGAGGACAGGTTCTGATGTGGCCCAGGACATGGTAGGGAGAGACAAAGTAGCCAGGCCAAGAGGGCCCCAAGGCCCTGCAACTTTCCGAACCATTTCTTACTTCAAGAGTCCTGGAAGATAAACCAGGCACGGTGGTGCACTCTTGTAATCCCAGCACTCAGGAGGCTGAGGCAGGAGGATTGAGACCAGCTTGGTCTATGTAGAGAAAAGAAAAGAAGAAAAGAAAAGAAAAAAATGTGTGATAACATGGAAAGTTGGCCCTGGTTATAAAAATATGGGGCAACAGTACATGTTATGTGATCAGCTCCTGAAAATTTAAAAAGTAGTAATAGTAACTCTGTGCTTTTTAAAAAAGCCAAGCTGGTTGTTCTCTGATTGTTAACAACAGTTCCTTCGAGGAGGGAGTCTGGAGGGGTAGCTTTCCCCCTCTGCTCTGTTGCTCGCTGTTTTCTAGGTTGTCAGTGACACAGTGGAGCTGACCTCCCGCAGGCTGAGGCCCAATGGGGATGCGGATGAGGATGAGGCATGAGGAGACCCCATGACAGGGGGCTGGAAGTCGGGGCTGAGCCTGGCCCGGTGATCCGCACACGGCCCGTGTCCCCCCATCAACTACCTCACTTCCTTCTCTACCTTCCTGACCCCCTCCAAGGCCAGGGTCCTACTCCTACCCTCCTGCCCTGTCCCTGGGCTCCCTTCCTCGGCGAAGCCCAGGCAGGGGGCACCCACGGGGTCTGCCCTGACCCAACCAGTGTGCAGGGCAGCAGGCTCTGGTGTCCTCCATCCCTGCCTCCTTGGCCAGCCATGTCCCAAGGCCACAGGGCCACCCTGCAGGGAGAGGCCAGAGAACAATGTGTCCAGATCTCAGGCATCTCCTGACTCCCTGTGGCCCGATCTTTTGCTGTTTAAGTTTATTGTAAATGATTTCCCAAGCCAGTGGATTTAATTACATTACACTTAGGGAAATTGGTACCATTTCTTAATTACTTTTATAGTCGAAAAGCAATTACTTAGCGATCGCAGGAAGGTCTTCTTGTGTTTCCTGGAGCTCTGCAGCCCAAAACACGTCTGCCGGGATGCTTTGAAGAGGCCGGGGTGCCCCTGCAGTAATTGCAACTGGGATAATTGGGTTTGGGCAGAAGGGTAGTTTTTGTGGGATAGAACTGGATAAAATAATGTTTTTTTAAAAAAACTAATCCTTCCACTTTCTAAAGCCAAAACCTGCCAGGCACCCTTACTTCACCCTCATCCTTACTCTGCAGCTTGTCCCCAGGGGCTTTGACTCCACCTGCTGATTCTCGGAATCTGCCCAAGACTCTGCTTCCCTATCTGGTCCAGGCCACCATCACACAGCTCACCTGGGGACAGCGGTGGCCTCGTAACTGGTCTCACTGTGTCCACCCTGGTGGCTTTCATGGGTTGAATCATGGTCCCAAAAGATATGTTCACCCAGAGCCTGTGAGCGTGACCTTATTTGTAAAAGTGGCCCTGGTGGATGTAATTCCATTAAACTAAGGGTCTGGTGAGGAGGACATCGTGCATTACTAAGTGCACCCCAAATCAGTGACAAGTGAGTACCCTTACAAGAGAAGGGAAGAGAAGCCCTAAAGGGTGAGCCCACATGAAGACACGGGTGGGTGGAGTGCTACATCTGCCACCCACAGGGCAGCAAGGATGGCTGGAAGTCACTAGAAGTCCCTGGAAATCACCGTCAAGGATGGCCGGAAGTCACCGGAAGCGGGAAGAGGTGTCAGGGTTGGGTTCTTCCTCAGGCCCCCAGAAAGAATGAGCCCAGGAACTCCTTAATTTTGGACTTCTGTCACCCAGAGCCATGGGAGAATACATTTCTGTTGTTTGAAGCACCCTGGTTTGCAGTCATGTGTCACAGCAGCTGCAGCCCCTTCTGGCAATTTCCACCCCTTGCCACTCTTGAGCCCAGAGCCCAGTGGCTCTGACTCCCTGAGTCCAAAGCCATGCTCCTCCTGCGGTCTCTGTGGGAAGGGATGCCGACCCGGGTCCCCCTTGCTCTGCTCCTGCATGGCTTTGGTGCTGTGGCTTCTTTGCACGCGCTCACACACAGCAACCCACTCTCGCCCCAGAGCCTCTGCACCTACTGGGACCATGGTTTCCAGAGACCCTCACTGTCCCTGCAGCTGGGGCTCTGGCTGCAAGGTGTGCCCTCAGAGGAGCCCTCCCTGTCCCCCTCCTAATCCTGGCCCACTTTCCACCAGCTCATGGCCCACCTCACAGGCCATGCGTCCCACGTGCTCACCGGCCACTGCCCAGCCCTCTCCCCAGGGACCGCCAGAGCCCCCCCCCCCCCCGAGGACTCAGCCCTGTCTGCATGGTCTCCTTTTCCATCCCAGCGCACCTAAGCAAAGGTGGTGTCGGTGAGGAACAAGTGACAGAGCCCGGCCTGTGTCCCCCGCATGGGTATGGGCTGAGGGGTGGATGTGTGCGACCCTGGATGTCCCATCCTCCTCTTCTGCAGGATTGGGGCCGGGGGAGCATGTGCACCTGGGGTCGGGGTCCTAGTGGCCCCACTTCCTGCCGCGAGACTCTCAGAACTCTGATGCTTTCCTCTGGAACGTGGGGTAATGAGGCTGTACTGGGTGACAGCCAAGGGTGACGCTGTGAGCGGCAAGAGGAACCCGGGTGGCAGAGGCCCCTGGTGTCCACGCCGGTCTCCCTTCACAGCAATGGACTTACTTGCCCAGACTCCCTTCAGCCAGGTGTGGCCCTGTGATCTAGTCTTGGCCGGTCGGTGGGTGAGCGAAAGCGATGTGTGTAACTTGCAGGGGATATTCTTTCTCTGCTGTCTTTCTTCTCGATGCCTGGAGAACGGACGCGAGGGGCGGAGCTGGAGGAACTTCCCTGGGCTATGAGGTTGATGCTTCCTGTGAAGACAGAGGAAGAAGATGGAGGAAACCCGGACCCCTCATGAAAGAAACGGGTCTCTACCTTGTCAGCCACCATTACTGCAGGCTCTGTGAGGGCTGCCCGGCCTGGGCAGTTGGTGCACTTGGCTTCTGCCTCCCTGCCAGGGAGTGTCCTTATAAGACAGGCACTGAGGAGAGAAGGCCAAGCTGCTCATCTTCCTGCAGAGGCAAAGCCCACTCAGAGCTGGTGCAGGGCTGGGAGAGGGTCCGCGGCCAAAGCAGACAAGTCCATCATTCCGAGGACTCACGCATGTGGTCCTGCAGCAGGCGCTGCCCTGGTGAGGGGCTCCGCACCCTCCGCAGGAGGTGACATTTAACCCCAGACCTGAGAGGGCGGGCGTGCAGAGATCCTTCCTTCCCAGCTCCAAGGGCCGCGCACCCGAGGAAATCACCTGCAGGGAATCAACTCACCCTTGCTTAACTCAGGAGGAAGCGATGGTCAAAACCGCAGGCTGACGGCCGTGTTGGAAACTGGGGAGGGGAACACGCTCAGCCCCCGAAGAGGGCTCTTCCCACATGTGGGTCCAGGATCGGGTCCTGCGGAGGCAGCTCGGGAGCCCAGGGGTATCCCCCTCATGCCTCCTTGTCTCCCCGGGCACCGCAGGCCACGCCGGGTTTCTCCCCACCTCTGTCCCCGTGTGGGGCTGCGACCTTGGTGGGGGCATGCGTTGCCCACGGAACTCCTGCCGGGGGGGGGCACTCATTCATGCTCCAGGCAGTTATTCACCTGCTCTGAGCACTAAGAACTGGCCAGGCTGGGGGCCGGGGGGAGTACCCTGCATTCGGGTACTGCTGTCAGTGCTGCGGTCGTGCTCAGTGTGGGCCGGGCAGTTCCAAAGCCAAACTGCGGGTGCTCACGCCCCGTGTAGAGAGAGCCGTGTAGTATGATAGGAACCCACGTTAGATACACGAGCTGTGACAAAAAATACGGGGAGTGTTCAAGTCAAAAAATCGTGACAGTAAAAGACATTGCCATGAACCCCCCTCAAAATCTTCCCCCTGCCTTCCAAGGCCCTTCCCATCATTTGTGTTACTTTCTGAAGCAGTTCTGGAAGGGCTCTTTCATGAGTGTCTGTGGTTTTTGCTACCATGGCTGCCTTGACGTCCTGAGTTGATTCTACAGGTTTCCCTTTCACGGTCATTTTGACTTTGGAGAAGAAGCAGACGTCGCGTGGTGCCAGACCCGGTGAATAAGGCGCAGCGTTGTGTTTTAATGAGCCCGTCTTTCTGTGGGATCGCTCTCAGTAGCAGCATCCCCATGCTTTTAATCACACCTCATAAAGACATTCACAGAAGACTTCCAGAACTGCTTCAGAAAGTGGCAGCAACTATAGGACGAGTAGCTGAGGCCCAGCTCGCTTCCCTGGGCAGCCCCTGATGCCATCTGGGCATCCAGGGTGGGTTGGGCAGTGTGTAGCACACGCAGGCGTCCCAGCTCAGACAGAGGCCCTACTGTGTGCCCGTGATGAGAGCAGGCAGAGCTGGAAGGCACTGTCCTCACCCCCACAGTGCCCCATAGCCTTGGGAACTGTGAGACAGCAGAGGCAGGATAATCTCTCCCTGACCTCCTGCCTTTCTGAGTGAGGCTGGGGCGTAAGACAGTCCTCCAACCTGGCTTCCCTGAAAGTTGGCCATAAAGCCCTCAGGTGATAGGTGGCCTCCCCCTCCTGGTACCCAGAGGAATGGAAAGGGGACACAGGGGTGCCCAGAAGAGCCTGAGCAAGCAGGGCTAATGGAGTCCCCTGGTTCACGACGCCTGGCCCTGCCACACCCGCGCCTGCCCCCACCCATCTAATCTGAGCGTCCAACAGTGGGGCTCCCCCCAGCCCCCGTCTTTGGACCTCCACATCTGCGAAGGCTCTCACAAAGGTCTGCACCAGGGGCACGTTATACTTTTCTCTTGTTGCTGTCTTTGGCTGCAGAGGTGTTGGCTAAGACCGCCGCCATGGTGAGGAGCGGTGTCATTTTCTCTCCCCCTCCAGTGTCCGAATTGAGCTGGGAAAGCGTGAGGCAGCAGTTCCTGCTCTGGCTCTAGTAGGCATCTGTCTTGTGTAGCTGCTTGGGTTGCTTCAAACCCCAGAAGTCGTTTCTCTGTGTCTGGAAGCAACCAGCCCGACATCCGGGTGCTGGATCCCTGCTCTCCCAGCGTCCGTCCATGATCAAGCGTAGCGCTGTGCGGTGCTGGGCCTGTGGCCGCCTCCTTCTGTCTTCATACAGCCTTCTTTCCAGGTGCTGTCGTTCCGACGTCCTTCCTACAAAGACAGCAAGCACTGGATCAGGGCCACCCTCACCTCGGATGACCCCATCCCACCATGATCACCCAAACGCCCTATTTCCACATACAGTTCCTTCCCAGGTACCCAGAGGAGGAGCTGGGCATGTTTTGGGGGACACGATTCCAGTCCCCCTAGGGTGCTCCTGCTTTAACCTTCCCTCTGAATTTGCAGCGCTCCCAGTGCACTGAGTCATGCGGCTTCCAGGCTCACCAAAGCTGCTGCTGGGAGCGGGTCCTGCTGGAGCTGCTCTGGAGGTGGTTCCCGCTATTCCCCAGCCAGGCGGACTCACCCCAGGAGGGACGCAGGGGCCAGCGATGTCACCATGATGGAACAGGAAGCAGGAGCCCAGGTGACCAGGGTGAGACTGCAGTGTGCATCAGGGATGGAGAACAGGGAGACAAGTCCCTGTCCCTGGCACCTGGGGACATCCAGGGAGGGGCCCAAGAGGAGGGACAGGTTGGCAGCCCACACCTGAGGGAGGGGAAAGGCCACTTGTCCTGGCTGTAGGTGTGGAGTGGGAGGGTGCCTGGGCAGGAGCAGCCCCGGCTTAGCCCCACATTCTCACTCCAGGTGAAGCCCCCTTGGGTCCAAAAACACCTTGGATGACAGAAAGAAGGCGACCATGCATTCTGATGGAGCAGTGACCTGGCCAAAGTGACACCAAGCCATGCTCTGGCCCTTCGAACCAGACAGGGCCACCCCAGTGTTAATAGGTTCTAGCCTGGTCGCACGCCTGGCCCTGGGAGGAGGAGGAAGAGGAAGAGGAGCTCCCTGAAGTAGCAGAGCTCTCAGTGTTTGGCTGCTTGCATTTCTTGACAAAGGAAATTTGTTGGGCTTAAGTCGCCAGGGTTTGCATCTGGATCCGATGATGTTTGGCTCGGGGCCGAGCAGAGCCGGCTGGGCCTCCATGTAATTAACTTAAGTGCTCTGAAGATGAAAGCTTGTTTGCCTGATCCTGGATTACTGGGAGCACCTTGAAGGTGGGCAGGGTGGCCAGGCGAGTTATCTCCTGCTCTTGAAGTCTCCACGATACTGTGGTGGACAGTGGAAATCAGGAAGTTTAGGCATGTTGGAATTTATTAAATTTGCCGTAAAAAGAAAAAAAAAAAAGATTCTGGAGACCAGTGCAAAGAGGTTAAGTGGAAACATAACTTTACGTAATGAAGTGGTTAATCATATTTTGATTTAGAAACACTAATAAGCTGGCCTGATTTTTGAGCTTCCAGCTTCAGCAATAGAGCAGAGACATTCATTTCCTAGTTGGGTGTACTTTCTGGGCCTTTCTTCCAGGTATGCTGCTTCCTTGTCTCCTTTTCCCTCCTCCCTCCTTCTCCACCTCTCTTCCCTCCCTCCACCTACTGAGGAAGAGAGCTTTGATCCTAGATGCTCTGGGGCTTGGGGGAAGCAGGGTGGGGGGGATTCCTACAGGTGATTTTTCGGCCTGAATTTCACTGTGACAGCAATGATTTATTTTAACTACTAACCCAGGAAAGCAGGCGCCACCAGGATGAATACCTCCACTAGCCCCTAGCAGACTAATTTTGCTGTTTATGAATCACTAATATGCTTGGGGGAGGTACCATTGTAGATAACTACGAGTCAGACGAATCAGACCCTGAGCCAAGACCTCATGGGGGACAAACAGTTCCACATGGGGCGACGCCCAGCCAGCCATCGAAGAGTGAAGCACAACACATGGGGTCCAGACCACCGCCCCACCTCCGAGGCCACGGAGGCTACTGGCAGATGAAACACTTTCATCTCTCCCAGGGAGATAAACAGGCCGGTCTGGATAGGCCTCTTTATTTACAAAAGAAAATTAAATCCGTTTTAACACTTGCACCGTTCATGGGAAACACATGTTGCCTGATAATTGTTTTGAACTCCTTTCCAGCCGGGCTGCCCTGCATTGGGCTGCTCTGGCGTTTTTTCACCGTGAGAGATAGCCATGGAATTTGCCAGGAATTTCTTCCCAATTCCAGAGGATCCAAGAAGGGAGCATTCCTTGGGCAACCTGGCAGAGAGCTCAGTTCCCTTCCGGCCTCCCACACCACTTACCCTGGGGTCCTTATGGGGCGGAGGGGGCTGGAATGGATCAGGGACTCGCAGCCTGATAGCCTGCCTCCTGCCTGGCATTTGTGGAGAAACAAATGACAGGCTGGATGTCCCTCCCCCCACCACCACCAGTTCCTGGTCCAGTTTTATAGCTGCAAGGAGGTGTCACTCCTAGCAGCCCTAGACCTGTGACTTCCTGATGATCCTGGGGGCTGGGGGCCCTGGGGAGCTTGTTAATCGCAGGCATCTTAGGTCAGCTGGGGCTGGAGAGGCTGTTGAGCCTCAGGCCTCAGTATTCGAAACTCAAGCCGACTCTGCCCTGAGCAGAGGGTCCGACCGGCTCCACAGGTCTTGTCGGGACTTTTTTCCTCTTGAGGGCACCTTGCTTGAGGGTGGCAGGACCAGAGCCGCTTCCCCCCACCTCTCTGAGTCAGGAGGCTGAGAAGGGGTTGCAGCCCCTCTCCCACAGGGGCCCAGGCTCAGCCCCAGACTGGCTCTGCTGAGGGCCCAGGTGGGGTGACAGGGAGCGCTGGGTCCCCATCTGCTGCTCCCTTACCCCGGAGTGCTCTTCCCTTCATCTCTCCTTCTGAATTACAGTTATTTCCAGCGCCTCTCTCTGGGCAGCCGCCTGTCCCCCAGCCCCTCCCAGTGCCAGTACCGTAGGCCCCTCCCTCTCCACACCCTCATTCAGGAGGAGGTCACGGCCGGTGGTGCATGTTCGAATGAAAAGATGTAGTACCGTGAAAGACACATTGCCATCAGCCCCCTCCAAGGCCTCCCCTCGCTTCCTGCACACTGGTCCCCTCATCCTGGCCACTTTCTGCAGCAGCTCCGGAGTCCTCTTTCCTGACTGTCTTCAGTTGCACTGTGGAGGCTGCCTTGATGTCAGTCGATTCAAAACATTTCCCTTTCCTGGTCATTTTGCCTTTGGGAAGAGGCAGAAGTCGCACGGTGCCAGATCCAGTGGATAAGGTGGATGGGGACACAGGGCGTCGCAGTGTCGCGTTTTTATGAGACCGCCCTTCCATTGGATGGCACTCGGCAGCAGCATTCACTAGCTGAGATCACACCTCATAAAGATACTTGTGAAAGAGCACGTCCGAGACTGCTTCAGAAAGTGGCAAGAATGATGGGATAAGTGTGTTCAAAGCCAGCAGGCGTCTTTGAGAGGGGGTGATGGCAATGTGTCTTTGGCTGTGGTGTTTTATTTAAATACACACTACATTGTTTGATCAGCCCACCCTTGTAACTGTTTCTCTGCATGACCTGTTTGCAGGTAGGAGGTGGTGAGGCAGGTCTTTTTTGAAACCACAACTAGAGAAAGTAGCAAGCGGATACTTCTTACGGTTTCATGGTGAAAGGGCAGCCAGGAGAGGCTTCTGAGAGGAGGCAAAGTGAGAACTTGAGCTCAGAGTTCCTAGGCAGCTGCAGCAGAAGATGGTGCTATGCCCAGAGCCCAGGAGGGCAGGCACTGAGCCAGGGTCTGGGTTCAAACCCTGCCCCTGTCACCAAGCAGCCCAGTGACTTTGGGGGGTTGATCACACTTGTATGCCTTGGGGTTCTGATTTGCACCATGGGGGTTCCACCTAGTGAGCACACAGCAAGTGGTCCTCACTGTCCTCACTGTGGGTGAGGGCAGAGAGGAGGGTGACAGTAACAGCAGGTTCGGAAGCCTCGGGATGCTGGCTGGGTGGTGCTTTCCCTGCTCTCCCCCAGAGGTAGGTGCTGTGCCTCGTACCTGGACACTCTGGGAACATTTGGCTTCTGATATGCCCAACAACTGTCCCTTCCAGGGCTTTGAACCATCGGGGAAGCCACAGCGTCCTGACTTAGAATGAGACATTTCCACACGAAGATAGTGAGGTGCACAGAGGGGTGAAGCCCACACCCACCCCTGCTGCCAAAGTCTGCACATTTGCATATGCCCACACATATTTGCATATATCCACACACATTTGCATATATTCACATATATTTGCATAGAGGGTAAGACCTGGAGGAAGACCCAGGCTGGTTTAAGCCTGGGAGAGAAGCCTCAAGGTCAGGGCCTGGACATTGCCTGACTTTGTCCTCCTGTTTGTACTTCCTGTTTCACTATTTGCGGATTTGGGGCTGTGAACAAACATGTGCTTTCTTCTGCACCTTTTCCCTTTGGAAAGGTTTCTTCTTTTGGAAACAAGGGATGGTATTTGATCTTCCCAATCAGCATGCAGGAGGAAGTCCAAGTCCGTGGCGGTGTCCATTGGATGGAGGGGAGTTGGAGGTGCAGGGTGGCCAGCCTTGTGGGTCCCCACAGTGAGGCGGAAGCAGAGCTTCCTTCCTGAGAGCAAGGCCCTGACTTTGCCTCAGGCGTCTTTCTATTACCCTGAGCCACCTCTGAGATCTAAGGCGCCTCCTCCCTAGACCAAGGCCTGGTGGAAAAGCCACAGGTGTGGCCTGAATGACCCTGACACTCTGGACTTCAGTCTCCTCATCTGTGAAGTGGGATCATATCAACCTCTGCTCAGGCTGATCAGAGGATGGGACAATCTGTACAAAGTGCTAAACGCAGGTTGGCCTATAGCATGCCTCTCCTGGGGGGCAGGAGGAGGTGGCTGGCGTGAGCGTCACCTCTAGGTAGCTGACAGGCCTCAGGCCCCTCGTGTAATAAGCTCCTCCCTGTGTGGAGGTTATGGACACGAGTGCCAATGGGGACCAGAAAATAAGGGCCTGACAGGACCAGGAGGGACAGTGAGCTCCATGAGGCCACGACTTCTCCTTTTTCAAGACAAAATGGAAATTTGCATTTCTACTCTCAATCTTCCACTTTAACAAAGAATAGGCAGGGTGTAGTTACAGGGGCTAACAAAGTCTGCGGACAGGGAATGCTTATGCCTCCGCACTGCAGCCTGAAGTCCAAGATCCAGGCGTGGCAGGGCTGGTCCCCCGGGAGGCCTCTCTCCTGGACTTGTGGCAGGCCACCGTCTGGGCGTGTCCTCTCAAGGCCCTCCCCACTGTGTCTCTGGGTCCCAAGCTGTTCTTCTCACAAGGTGTGAAGGGGTCGGGCCACCCTCACAGCCTCCCGCCTCACTGTAACTGAAAAGGCCCCATCCCTTCGGGACTTTGGTTAACTTCGGGATGGGAATTTGCAGAGGGGGCAGGTGGGGTAACAGGATTCAGCCCATAAACGCTTTCACACTGCTGTCTGATCCACACGGCAGGGTTGGGGGCTCTGGGCTGGAGCCTCAGGCTGGGAGCTTTGGTTGGGTACTGAAATTCACACGCTTGTTCTCTCAAGTGGACCCACTTGCAATTCCCTGCTTTCTGCCAACTTTCAGATACTGGGGTCAAGGGTCCTTCTTGTCGTCCCTGCCTCTGGGGAGTCAGCAGTTGGCCAGGAGCTGGCCTCATCTGCCGCAGCAGCAGCCTGATGGGGGACACCTCCTGTTCCTGCCTGGGCCTCTGAACACCTTGTTCCTCCATGGCCCGCAGGCCAGTGGCCTTCACTCAGCCATCTGCAAAAGTCTTGCCAGGGTTCCTGTGGCTGGAGGTTCCTGTGTATAGTGGTTACCTGTGGGTTCCCCAGAACCCTGCAAGGGGAACGGAGTCTCCTTTCTCTGCACAGCATGGCTGAGGGCATGGAAGAGAGTGAGCAGGAGGCGCAGGGCCCTCTGCCACCCCACACCCCAAGGGCATGCACAGAGAGCTCAGGGCAGGGTCTGGCCACAGGAAGTGCTCATCGAACTGGAGTCTTTCCCTTCCTGGGGAAATTCAGCTTTTAGGACATCAAATGGCTGTTGTTGCTCAGGGAGGTCATCTAGCGTCCCCCTTCCCCAAAAATCCACATGGTGAAGGGCTGACCCAGCATGGGGGTGATGTGTGGAGGTGAGGCCTCTGGAGGGCTCCTTAGGGTGAAATGGCCTGAGGAAGGAAGCGCCCTCACCACAATGCCTGGAGTCCTCAGGAGAGCAGACCGGGAGTATGACGCATGAGGGGAAGCCGCGGAGCATGCAGGGAGGAGACAATTGCCCATTTCTTAGGAGCCAGCCAGCCGTGTTACAAATGAAGACCTCAGAAGTGAGAGGAAACACATCCTGAATCCCCAGCTCTGGTCTCTGGAGCCCAAGCTCTTTGCATCACTCGGCCAATTGTTGGAGCTAAATTTACCTACAGCTGCAGCCACAGAACCAATCCCTTTGCAGGGATGGCTTCCTAAATCCTGTCCAGCAGGTCCCTCCCAGCCCTCAAGCATCCATCCCCAAGGAAGCCTTTGTCTCTGGCCAGCTTGAGGGGGCCTATGGGCTTCCCCCAGCACCCTGGCTCAGGAGAATGAGCAGATCCATTCCGTCTGGGCCTTGTGATTACCCTGAAACCAGTGCTCCTGGGAGATCTGCAGGAATAAATCCTGAAGATGTTTATCCTGAAAATTCCAGGCTTAATTTACAGCCTGCTGCAAACAGCATCTTGGCGGGTCAGCCCATAGGTCCCAGTAAGCAGAGCAGCGCCTCCAGGTCTGGGGCATAAATACCTGCTGTCAGCTGGGGGGGCAGCCGGGCTCCGTGGGGTCCTGCTGGTGGCCTGGGCTCCCCGCTGCCTTCCAGCCCCTGCACAGGCCTGGAAGCTGCTCTTATCAATCTCTCAGAGATGGGATTTAAACCCAGTCAGCCCCAGACTGCACCAGGCCCTGGATTTATTGACAGCAATTTGTAGACTGTGGGGACATCCGCCAACAAACCCAATGAGAAGGGAGCTCTCTGCTTCATGCGATAAAGAGGCAGCAAGAGCTGCTCAGGCACCCAAGAGTCACTGCTGCCACAGACATGTCTGGAGCCCTGGGATTCCTCCTGGTGCCCTCTGGTCACAGAGGGAGATGCAACTGCAGGGACATGGGACAGAAGCAGCCTGGCTGGCTGGAAGCTGAGTCCTGGGGAGGGACAATGAGCAGGGCACAAAACTGCCTGTGTCTCTGTGTCTGTGCATGTGTCTTACATGGACAAGTGTGCCAGGCACACGGTAGGTTACACACTGGCAAGGGCCTCTTTTCCTGACCCAGTTTTCTATCTAGAACTCTCACTGCTAAGCACTCCAAGTGAATGTTGAATAACTGCTAGAGGCGTGTGTTAATTGACTATTCAGGGCGTCAATTTGTTTGATAAGGGCTTGGGCTTACGCTGCGCCTGCCAGGGTTGTACATGCACTGGGCTCTGGGCAATATTGTCAGCAATCCTCTCTCCCTCCCTCCCCCACCTTCCCTTTCCCTCCTGCTCCCTTTCCTTCTCTTTCATCCCAGGGCCTTCTCACTGAGCTACATCCCCAGTCCATTTTTCTTTTGTATTTTGAGACAGGATCTTGCTAAGCTGCTAAGTTGCCCATGCTGGGCTCAAATGTGCGACCTTCCTGCCTCAGCCTCGCAGTGTGCTGGGATTACCAGTGTGCACCTGGCTTCTCTGCCTTTTGAACGCTGCTCTTGGACCTGCATGGATAGTGCTGACAGGCCAGGTCTTGCGGAGAAGGGATGGAGGCCGAGCAGAAGCGGGGTCCCTTTGTTCCCAACTCAGGAGTGGCGCTCCTCACAGGACACATCTGTCACCGGTCACGTGGTCCGCTAGACTGCCAGCTCCATGCAGCAGGGTCTGCGGCCGGCTAGCTCACTCACCTCGCCCAGAGCCTCGCAGTGGGCTCTCCCTAGACATCTCCCCGCTTGACAGGCAGCATCGTGCGCAGCTGGGCGGCCTTCAGGACCCACGTGCTGGTGTCCAGCTCACCAAGGACAGCTCCCCGCCCGCCCATCCCAGCCCATCCCAGCCCACAGCACAGGACGTCGTGAGTTCTCTCCTCCACAAACCTCCCGCCTCATCGGTTCGCCGTAGGAAGGAGTCTGTACTAAGGCCCCTGCCTCCAAAGGCTGACGGAAGTGCTGGCAAAAGCGTGGGTTAGGTGGTGGTAACGCCTGTGATCCTAGAACTCTGGAGGTTGAGGCAGGAGGATCCCTAATTCGAGCCCAGCACGGATAATTTAGCAACTTGGTGAGACCTTGTCTCCAAATAAAAGAAGTAATAATTTAAAAAGACCTGGGGATGTGGCGCAGGGCAAAGGTCTTGGGGTCCAGTCGATCCCAGTAGGACAAAATCAACACG